CACCACAAAACACAAGAAGATGATCCATTTCCCTAATGTAGTCTCACTTGCATCTGCAAGTCAAAAGAGCCTGGGGCAGTATTTGCTTGCATCAAACCCATACAATGGGCACACCCCATGCATCTACTCCAGAGCAGGCAGCTCTGAGGTCAAGCTTGCACTCCCACAGCAGCCAGACACCGGCACCACAGCTCAAGATTACCGCCAGCACCCCTTCCGAGCTGCCTGTGGCTGGAGAATGGGTGTCAGGCTGAGCAAAGATGGGACATGCACCTCCGCCTTTCTCTTCAGTGATACCTTTGACAAGTGAGTTGGTTTTTGCCAGCCTAGAGAAACACGCAACTCGGACTCCCAACAGACCTGCAACACAAGTCAAAATAAATAAATAAAACTCCCAGCCTTCCCTCCCCCCAAAAAACCCATGTATATGTTGATACCAGGTGTACATTCATTCTTTAGTGGACTGTCCCAGAAGAACTGCTTGGAAAAGATGGTCCACCATCTCCAGTTAGTGTCTCAAACTCTTGGTAGAGCACTGCAGCCACCCCTAGTGACCTGAGCTCCTCCACAGCACCTTTTGGAGCGACTGCAACCACAGCAGGAACAACACAAGCAGGAACATTCATTTCAGTGTTACCGTAGCTCTTAAAATAAATGGTATTGAATCAAACGCCACTGCTTAATATGTAACAGGCCCCATATAAAATGTTGTTTTCCACTGGGCCTAAGCTTTGGAGGACATCACTTCAAAGCAGTTTGGTTTGGGTTTTTTTTTTCTTTTTTAAACAAAAAAGGATGAGTTACAGCCTTAATCCAGAATTGATCCAGACTTATGCTAGGAGTGACTGACAGTCAACTGACATCACAACTGCTAAGTGGCCTCTATAAAGCTGGTCTCTGTCCAGTCCCTAAAGAGGCGTCCACACGACAGAAGTCAGCAGCACGGCTGTGTGAATCAGTGCCCAAGGGCAGACCTGTCAGGCTCAACCACGCCAGCCACCAGAGCCCAAAGATCCTCTGAACAGCATTTTAGTCCAAAATGAGCCCTATACACAGCACAGTCAAGGTACTCTACACAAGGATTCTGTTTCAAGTCCAACAGACACTCCTGATGGGAGTTTTCAATTTACAAATAATTTTAAAAAACCCACACTCCTCAGCATAAAAATATTACACAGATCTTCCATTGTCTCCAACACATTTAGTCCTCAAAATTTGGTTTTGCACTGTTAAGATGGCAGATTTGCTTAGGTTCCATGGAAGACTGTTCTAATGAGAAACGTCGCAATGAGACATACCGAATCCCAAAACTTTTATACCCTCCACCTTCTAAGGATCAGGCCCAGAAAAGAAGAGCTGGCAAGCAGAGTCATGGAGTCAACTTTCTAATCAGCACAACAGCATCTTAACCTTGGCTTCAGAATCTGCGCTTTTCAGCTGCAGTCCAGGCCCATTACTGTTGTCGTACTGCTCTCCCATACCTCAGCGGGGTGCTCAGAGCACAGGCAGCGACCCAATAGTTCTCAAGGCAGAGGCTGGCTGCTTCTCAGAAAAAAAGCCCTTTTGCACAGGCTTTGTTGTCTGCTTGGTTTACAGGTGTAGCGCCTAAACTATTCTCAACATGTCTGAGAAAAACAGACCAGGTAAAATTAAGTCAATGTCTTTCAACCCCACTCCCTTCTCCCTGCCAACCTCGTCATCCCATTCAGGGAAAATGTAGTGGTCCAATCGTTCCATAAAGCACAAGTGCCACAGAACCCACTTGAATCCGGCTTCCATCTACATCTTGAAGAACAGAAAAACAAGACGACAAAAAAGACTTCACACACAAACAATTTTCACACATTTAATGTAATGGCACCCTAATTAAGTTTACAGTACTTTCATCTCCACTAGATACTGTGTTTCAGAAGTATAATGGGAAAAAACAAACATTAGAAAAACCACTATTTTTTTGTAAAGTTTTAGAAACTCAAACATTTGGAGTTACCTATGCATAACTGCCTTTCAAAAAATTGTTAAGAACTGTATTTTTCACCCTCATACAACAAAAAAATAGGGTTTTGGTGGGTCTTTTCACAAGATATGGAGATCAAAGATGGCACTTAGGAAACTTCTGAAGTCAAGGGTGTCATAAGGTTATATCAGGATTTCCGCTGGAGAGCCTGCCATGAAGCAAACACTATAAATAGGAAAAGAATGTGCAAGAGCTCTGAATAAGTGAGAAGCACAACATGTGTTGCAAGCTTGTGTTCTGATAGCCATGGAACTGAAGACTGCTGGATGAGGAAAGCCTGCCCGAATTTCTTCAGCTAAAGTCTATTCAAAGCATAGCCATCATAAAAAAATCGTATCGATAGCAACATGCTGGGCTCTGTGATTCTAGTGACAAGCTCTCCTTTGGATTTTACCTTGGATCAACAACCAGAACAAGCAGAAAGGTCACTTTTAGAAGCCATAGGAATAATAGGAAGTATTAGTTGGTTTTCCTATGACAAGTAATTAAGAGAACTAATACAGAAGCAGATACAAACAGGTTAGGCAGAAGTCTTTTTAAGGTACTATCAGCTACAAAACTAGCAACCCTATGTTTTTTTTATCAGTTTCATACTTTGACTTTAAAGAGTTAATGAAAACAAATACACTTTGTATGAATAAAGTCTGGAGCATCCTTAAAGAGGGGAAGCTAACCTAGAAGCAGCCAAGGACCCTTGCCTTTCACCAAAAAGCGTATCCTGAAAGATGGGTGAACTCATACAGTCACTTAAAATAGACTTAAATTTTGGGGGTGGCTGTGTTTCCTACAATTTACAGTACTCATTTTAGCTTTTATTCCTCTAATTCAGGATTAGGGAATGGACTCAAGTTCATAACTGGAGAAAACCACCTTTGAAGAGTCAATTGTTTGGTTCTACTAGGAATTTTAAATATCCCTTCTCCCACACTTAGGAACTACTCATTCTGCTGTTTCCAATTTCTCTCTTTTTTTTTTTTTTTTTTATAAATTACAAAAGTATGCACTAGACTAAGGAAGGCATTAATATTTTACCTTTGCATTCTGCTTCTAGAGTTGCCTCCCACCTCTAAGTTCCAGCAGTCATCATCCCTAAATGACATTCACTACCACTCTGTCACATTTAATACTAAAGGCCACATCCTTCCAAAATCTTACCAATGTGAACAATTCTCCTCAAATGCATACAGAAATGCCCTCTCAAAAACTTGGTATTTGTGAGAGAAAGTAATTCAGAACTTTAAGTTAATAATTTGTTCATTTGGATGCTCATATGATATGAATCAGGCAGATAATTTGATTCATGCACAGGACTGATGGAGTATATTTAAGAAAAAAATGCAGAAATCTGCATGAATTACAACTTTTGGTTGAATCATATATTAATTATACAGAAGAAACCAAAAATCTCTACTTACACAGAAAAAGGGTGGAAATAACAAACACACTCACTCCAGCACTTTTCCTACTATAAGAATATTGCACATTCCGATAATGTTGCACAAATTACTGGCTTTTTATAAAGACCATATATGAGGTATTAGTCTATTAATAAATAAAGAAGAACATGGAAAAGAAAAAGCACTTAATATAATGCAACAATCCATTCCAAGTATTTAGTGAATGAAAACTGAACAAGTAGTAATACGTACCCTTGAGGGGAAGGTTAAAGTTACTTAGCAAATAGGCAGCTTTCAATATCCATCCGAGAAGCAAAGGGTTAAAACTCTTTTGAGAAGGATTTTAAGAATTCAAAGCCTATTTAGAACACTGCTGTTTAAAAAGCTCATTTTGCTCATGCAATCAATCCAAAAGGTAAATTCTTATCTCACAACTCTCAAGGGACAGCAATATGTGGGTAACGGCAACCTTATTAAGAGGAACCAATTTAATATACTAAAGCTGTATTACTAGTTAAGATATAAACCAGCAACTTTTGGATTGACATCACTTAAAATATTCAGGGGGTTTGTTGTGGGGTTTGGGATTTTTTTTCCTTTTTTTTTTTAGTTTTAAATAGTTTAGACTGGGTATGGGTTTCCGTGGTGCTGAAATTGATACCCAAGCACTGTCCTTGTTATCGGATTCCAGCACCACAAGGCATTAGATGAATACAACAACTGTAATTTTCAGTTTATGTTTTCAGTTCTGTGTTTATGCTAAGAATTTACCTTTCAAATCACAACACTGAAAAAATCCTGCTAACAGGTAATAAATCTGTCAATCTAAACACAATCTATCTATCTATTTTTTATTTAGACCCTTCCAGAAACACTAGGAATCTGTAGGCAAGCTTATCTTAAGTTTAAGTTCACAAGAGCACAGAGGAGTATTTAAGTTCAATAAACTGAGCTACAGAAACTACATTGCACACATGGTAACATAATAAGCATGAAACAAGAGTGTTTTCGGTATGCTGTTCCAAACCTTGTTAAAGAGATACTTGTATTTTGGAAGAAAAAAAAAAGATACCTTGTGCGCACACAAACTTACTTACATGAACATCCCTTAAATAAGCCAAGGGTTATTCAAATCCTAAAATATTTTCAGGCCAATGAAAGGCTATTTGGAAATAAAGTAATTCCTACCTCACTCTCCTAGGTGAGACACAACCTTAACATATTCCCTCTTGTTATTTTCCAGCTTTAGAAAGCACTTTATTATTAATAAATTTGCAATGCTGGACAGAGTAACAAAGACCCAGGTAAGTCATATTTCTGCTGCTATTTTGTGTAAATTATCTAATTTGCACACCAAGTCCGTATTAGGTAAAAACTGCAAGTGAAAACTTGGAAAGACGTGATAAAGAAAGCAGCACTTCAAAATTAAAGTATCTTCTCCACTGTAATCCATGCACCAGCAACTCAAAAGAGTCCTGAATTGGCATATATGAAAAAATATTACATTTCTGAAATTAAAAATATATATCTTGTGTTGAAGCTCAAACTTATTGGTAAGTGTTTACTAAACTGAAATACATATAACTTCTTCTGTCACATGAGACTATTTCTCTCCCATTCTAAGTAGTTACTGAGACATCTACTTCCCAAATGCACGTTGTTTCTGTTCTGAAGATTAGTTTCATCTACAATTTCTTTATAGCAGTTAGGTGTTTTTTAGAACAAACAGTTCAAAGAATTTTTTCCATGTTAGCACAAAACCAAGAAAGATTATGAAGATGTTGAAAGAAGAAGAAAAGAGATGAAAAGAAAGGAAACATTATTGTCCGGAACAGTCTGTATACGTGGTAACCATGTTTCCTCGTCTCTGAGTGACAGTCCTACAGTGCTTGCTGGATCCATGAAACCTCGTATCAGTTCGCACCGCATGTCGGTGTGCATTTTCAAAGTCACTAAACGAAAACATTTTTTCCATATTTTCAAACACATCATCAAACAGTCCACCTCCAAAGGAGAACTCTTGGAAAGAACGTCTTTGCCGATTGTGAGCTTCCCGATGGCTTCGGAAGTGATTTTCAAAGTGCTTTTTTGACCGTGAATTTTGACTAAAGAGGTCAAAGTCTTTGAACAGATCGTCAAAGTTGAAATTAAATGACTGTTGGAATGGGCTTCCATTATTTCCTTGTCCTTCGTGACGGACAAACTGATCATATTCTCTTCGTTTATTCTCATCTGATAATGTTTCATATGCTATTTCCATTAAAAAAAAAAGTTTAAAATGTTTATTTGCATTCCCAATAAAAAAAAGAAAACCATACACACAAAGAACAGCAGCTTTCTCCCACCCCCTTAACAGGACAAATTTCAAGCAACACTTTCATTCAACACACAAGCCCAATCAAGCTCAGCACTTGTTTAACTTTCTTGAATACAAAAATAAGCTGTTTCAAAATAAATATTTATTATTATAAATAAATATAGCTATACTACAAGGAGAGATTATATCCTCAAAATTTTAAATTCACATAGTACAACTTAGTTTAAATAGCAATAAAGATTAGTGTTTATATTTGAAAGAAAATAGCAATGACACATGGCAATCAGAAAGACTGAAGGAGAGAGAGAGTTAGGAGCTCTACCTAACAAAATGAACTGCCTGCTGCATTCCTATCACAGATACACAGTGCAACATCTGCTAAGCTACTTGCCATCAAGCCAGCAAGTTTTAACTACACCGCAGTTACAACTAAGCAACCAGATAAACATCAAGGAGATAAAATAAAGGAAATTAATTTCCCCTATGTCCAAATTCTCATTTTCTCAAAAGTCCAGCAATAAACCTAGATTTTGTGATTGGATATACCTGAAACAGAATTAGGTTTCCATCCGGTCTTTGGTCCAGAGCTACAGCTACTGGTGTTCCAATGCAAAACTCTGACTGATAATATATCCATTCTGGTATTTTAAATGCTTCCATTTTCTTATCTGTCAAAGGCCTGCAACTATCTATATACTTCAACACTTACGTAAGAGTTCCTAATTCCTTCTGTAATAGGTGCTAACAACTGCAGTAAGTATCTAACAAGACTGTCCCTCCCTTTCACTATGTTAATAACTACCTTTCTTTCAAAAGAACTTTTCTGCAGACAAGAAGGTAAAACCCGGAAGTCTCTTATTAGCTTAGAACTACACAACTAGATGGATGTTATAACAGAGTCTATGGGGAGCGGAAGTGGGAACACCTTATTTTTCAGCAAGCCTTTTTCTATTATTATTTGCTTCCACCATTATATTTTATCGTAAAACACTTACGAATGGCATGTTCCTAGGATCACAGGATAATTTTCAGGTTGGAAGCGACCTCAGGAAGTCCCTAGTCTAACCCCCTGCTCAAAAAAGGGTCAGTTATGAGATCAGACTAGGTTATTGAAGGCTTTATGCACTCATTCCCAAAAAAATCTCCAAGGATGGAGACTGCACAACCTCTCTAAGCAACGTGTTCCAACACTGGCCTATCCTCAAGTTGAAAAAGTTTTTCCTTATAACCACTCTGAACCTCTTGCACCTGTTGTCTCTTGTGTTCCCACCACGAACCACTGAGGCACCTTGCCACTTTTTTTTTTTTTATAATCTCCCCACAGTTACTGGAAGGTTGCTGTTAGGTCTCCCTGAAGCCCTAGTAATCCTGAACTGGATCTTACTAGGCAGATCTAAAGATAAGAATTAACATCCTAGGGCTAAAGTTGTCCTACTGCCAAGTATGTTTTGCGACAAAAGGCATAAGCCAAAAAGCCTAATAAGCAGGAAAGCATAAACTGTAAAAGGCCTGCCTATGTGTAAGGACACAGAAATAAGCTACACATTTGACACCACAGAAGTAGAATTAAGGGGAAAAAAAAAATCTTTTTACCTCTTATTCACTAAAAACAGAGTAGATTTAAGTTACCACATTTGCTACATATAAGTTACCACATACAAGCCATGTATTGAATTATTAGGACTACGGTTAGCATGTATTACCTTCAGCAATTTCTCTAAATTTTGCTTCTGCACCAGGACTCTTATTTTTGTCTGGGTGGTATTTCATAGCCAGCTTGTGAAATGCCTTCTTGATCTGGCGGTCAGATGCATTTTTTGGAACTCCTAAGATATCATAATAGCTCTCTGTAGCCAGTATTAGTTCAGTTATCATTAAAATGCAGAGAGCAAATGTGAAGACAGATTGCGTAGTTGCCATTTCTCTGGTTCCTAGAAAGAAAAAGAAATATACTTGAAGAACAAGTTATTTCAGGTTCCACAAGAACTTAAAGGTACAACTGTAAGCTGAAAGAGGAAGACCTGTATGTTTCAGGAGTCACTCAGTGACAGACATGTAAGCACTCTGTTTCACTCGTTTCAACAAACTCCATTCCCCTAGTTTCATAATCACAGAATACATAAATGAAAATACTGCACATTCACATTTCACATGCATCACGAGCATACTTCAGTATTCATCTTTGTTTCATACCTATCCTTAACTGTACATTCTCCCACAGAGCTGTCGAAGCAAATATGCAATACATTTCACTGTATCAAACAGTTCATGCTGGCGTACCTGAAATAGCTTTAAACTAATCCTTGAGTTCTAGGACCATAAACACAACAGCTCTAAATTAAGCGCAGGTTGCAAAACCCCACTCAATACTGGAAGACCAATTCACTGATTAGCTTGTGCAACAATAAGAGCCTGAAAACACAACTGGCCCAGAGACCAACTGTGAGGTGCAGAAAGGCAAGACTGTTAGACACTCATGCTCAGCTGCAGACGGTCATTTAACTGAAATAAGGAGAACATGATTGCAGATGACACCAAGCTGAATGGTGCGGTTGACATGCCA